CCAGGACTCAAGTCCGGCCTGCCGGTTTCCCTGAACCCCTTCATAAATGTTACTTTGCTCACACTCCAACAGCATCTCAAGTATTAAAAACCATTTGTCTCCATTCACTCCTATCAAACACGCTCATGCATGCCTGCTGGAAGTCCAAGCCCTTCGCACACAAAATCTCCTTTACCCCCTCCCTCCAACCTTTCCTAGGCCGACCCCTACCCCGACTTCCTTCCACTACAGACTGATACACGCTTGAAGTCATTCTGTTTCACTCCATTCTCTCTACATGTCCGAACCACCTCAACAACCCTTCCTCAGCCCTCTGGACAACAGTTTTGGTAATCCCGCACCTCCTCCTAACTTCCAAACTACGAATTCTCTGCATTATATTCACACCACACATTGCCCTCAGACATGACATCTCCACCGCCTCCAGCCTTCTCCTCGCTGCAACATTCATCACCCATGCTTCACACCCATATAAGAGCGTTGGTAAAACTATACTCTCATACATTCCCCTCTTTGCCTCCAAGGACAAAGTTCTTTGTCTCCACAGACTCATAAGTTCACCGCTCACCCTTTTCCCCTCATCAATTCTATGATTCACCTCATCTTTCATAGACCCATCCGCTGACACGTCCACTCCCAAATATCTGAATACATTCACCTCCTCCATACTCTCTCCCTCCAATCTAATATCCAATCTTTCATCACCTAATCTTTTTGTTATCCTCATAACCTTACTCTTTCCTGTATTCACTTTTAATTTTCTTCTTTTGCATACCCTACCAAATTCATCCACCAATCTCTGCAACTTCTCTTCAGAATCTCCCAAGAGCACAGTGTCATCAGCAAAGAGCAACTGTGACAACTCCCACTTTGTGTGTGATTCTTTATCTTTTAACTCCACGCCTCTTGCCAAGACCCTCGCATTTACTTCTCTTACAACCCCATCTATAAATATATTAAACAACCACGGTGACATCACACATCCTTGTCTAAGGCCTACTTTTACTGGGAAATAATCTCCCTCTTTCCTACATACTCTAACTTGAGCCTCACTATCCTCGTAAAAACTCTTCACTGCTTTCAGTAACCTACCTCCTACACCATACACCTGCAACATCTGCCACATTGCCCCCCTATCCACTCTGTCATACGCCTTTTCCAAATCCATAAATGCCACAAAAACCTCTTTAGCCTTATCTAAATACAGTTCACTTATATTTATATATATATATATTATAGGGAGGTACCACCTTTATAGCTGGAATGGGAACCCTCATCCTCAGAGAAGACAATAGACGTATCTCATGGAAAACTCAAAGTTCTCCCTGGAGTTGTTTGAATATTTTCTTCTCCTACCACCTCCTATATTTTATATTCTATTGGAAAATTTATTAGTAGGCAGAATACATTTACAGAAAGCACAAACATGAATACGGTGGCACAATATATCAAAGGTTATGAATCTCCTCCAGCTCCTCCGAAGCCGGATGCCAGCCCAGTATGCAGCAAGCATTTCCCCTCTGGATGGCCACGCTGAGGCGCTGGAACATGAAAGTGGCTGCTCTTGGGTCCCTGGTGGTGTCGAAAAGTCTGGAACCCAATTCTTTAAGGTATCATGTGGCATTTTTTCCCCATGATCCCAAGGTCTCTGATCCCACTGGGACAAATTGATACTGCTGACTTATGTCCCTGTACTTGCTGATCTTGTACTCCTCCCTGTGGTCAGCAACTCCTCCCTGTCGCCCAACACTGTGATGGATATAGGTGTCAGCCAGTGTGGACACAGGTATAGTCCCATAGTCCCATAGTCCAAGGATAGATAGATGGTGATCCCGTCGGGGCAGTTTGCTGGGTTGTGGGTATTGTTGGCTTCTAGTGCTCGGGGCTCTCTCTCGGCTGGCATCCAGCTGTATGAGGTCATTGACTTCATTGTGTCTTGCATGCCAGCCCTTGGTTTTGGAACAGTTAAGACCATGTAGACCATATTGGTCGGCTTGCTCATCACCGCAAATTCACGTGTATTCCGTGTGAATTGGGGCAGCAAGGCACAAAGCCACTGCAATACGGAGGGTCTTAGAGACGAGGCATGTTCCCATTACCGAAATAGGAACTGTTTGGAGGAAGTCCCTGGAGTGATGTGCACTCACAGCTTGGAGAAGAGCAGTCTCACTTTCTGATGTTTCCGCCCTAAGCATATTGGAAAGCATTTTTTCAGCGATGAGGCCATCCCAACTTGACTGTTTGCAAGCCAGTATATGCAGGACAAACCACGGGAGGGGGGGGGAAGTCTTTAGCTCAAGTACTTTCACACTTAAGCGCACAAAGAGTACATTGTATTCCTTTCTTTCATTATTTGAAAAGGTCACACAGAATAATAGCTATCCATGTCTACAGTATCTAACGAGAAACTTATTTTCTCAAACCACATGACCTGTTATAAACGATTAGAAAAAGCTTAGGGCTGACTTTTTATATCTTATAATTTCATACTTGACGTCTCAGAAACCCTCCTATCCCATATGGGTAGTGGGGGGATGATGGCAGGGTGGGGCTGGCACCGACCACAAACCGAGTGTAAGAATGGACGGTGACACCTACGCTATTCTGAGACCTCTCTCCCTGCTTTGGTTGCTCCCTTGCAACATTGCACAGCTCCTGACTACGCACTGAGAAATGTGAAAGTACTTGAGCTAAAGAATCCCCCCCCCCGTGGCTTGTCCTGCATAGTTAAGATCGCCGTCTGCGACTGTAAGTTATCAAAGAGCTTTCCTGCTCAATCGTATGTAGATTTCGCACGTGAAAAGAAAACCGCTTTTGAGATGTGGTGTAGAACTTCTAATTGTAATTCAATGGAAAGTCTCTCACAGTTGATCTTGAATGAGGATTTCTATAGTAACTTGCCTGAAGACTTGCATAGGTATTTAATTGCTTGCCCAGTAGTAAATTTGCTAAAAAACAGCCTCATAATTATAAAATATCGCAACATCTGATTGGCGAATGGAAAAAGCAAAGAAACAGTGAATAAATGTGCTGCTAAGAAAGTACGATCTAGTCTTACAGAGGTACGTCACACACAACCCTCGCCCGACCTCTTAACATGCTTCTGCACAAATTGATGATAAATTTAGGTCGGACCCTGGAAAAGTCCAGAGCAGGTAAGGCAAAACAGTGTGTTGAAATGCACCTGTTATATGAAGAAAGGGTATTTAAGGGGACATTGTTATAGGCTTGAGAGGGATACTAGGAATGATCAACAAGTTCCTTTCCCCTCTCAAGTCATATCTGCCTCGGCAACCCGAAAGAAACAGAACCCAAGTTCCGAATAGAGTTCACGAGTAACAAAAAAAGGCACAGTACCGTGAATGGAACGATACACAAATAACCCGCACATAGAAGAGGGGAGCTTACGACGTTTCGGTCCGACTTGGACCATTTACAAAGTCACACTAACCAGAAGTGGAGCAGGACGGCTATATATAGGCAGGAAGAGGTAGTGGTGGTAGTAGTAATAGTAGTAGTAGTGGTAGTAGTAGTAGAAGTAGTAGTAGTGGTAGTAGTGGTAGTAGTGGGGAACTAAGGAGGAGGAGCCAGTCAAATATTAAGAAAGGGGAGCACTGCAAGGGAGCTAGGTGCCCACAAGGGAGCTAGGTGCCCACAGAGGGAGAGCAAGTGCACAGAGGTGGGAGGAAGGGGAAGTGATGAAATAAATAATGAAGGAACAGAAACACGCGACAGAAGAAAGACAAAAAAGGAAAGAGGAAAGGGGAAAAGGGAGAAGAAGAAAAAAATGAGGAATCAGGTTAAGTCACTGGTGTTGTGAAGTTTGGATCATTTTACAATGTAGTGGGAGAGGAAGGCATCTACAGAGACGAAGCCAGGACTAAGATTCATACAAGGAAAGTTGTGTATTAGGGAGGATTCAACTAGACGGCGACTGTTAAAGTTGGAAGTAGGGAAGACAGTGCTCCCCTTTCTTTATATTTGACTGGCTCCTCCTCCTTAGTTCCCCACTACTACCATTACTACTACTACTACTACTACTACTACTACTACTACTACTACTACTACCACTACTACCACTACTACCACTACTACTACTACTACTACTACTACTACTACCATTACTACTACTATTACTACTACCACCACTACCTCTTCCTGCCTATATATAGCCGTCCTGCTCCACTTCTGGTTAGTGTGACTTTGTAAATGGTCCAAGTCGGACCGAAACGTCGTCGTAAGCTCTTCTCTTTTATGTGTGGGTTATTTGTGTAGAGTTGACGAGAGTGAACCAGCAGTCACTCTAGCTGACTAAACCAGAACTATATCAGAACATGATGTTCACTGAGCTATGAGTCATTACTTTGCTAAAGTTGGGCTACAAGAAACTCAACTGACTGAAGTTAACTTCTTCCGAGACACTGGAAGTTATTTAACCTTGATGAAGCAAGACAAACTTCCTGGGACACTGACCTAATTTGTGGGAAATACTCAGCATAAAAAGGGACTTTCTATATAGTAGTATGTCAGTAATGTCAGCTATGGTCTGTAAACCTTGTACATGTACTGGTGGAAACAAATATATTATTTATATTATTTATTTAGTTCCAGTTCCCTCAATTAAGAGCCCTTCGCTAGGAACATTATATCGTCGTTAAAGATGCATCATATGGAAACTGTAATGCCCAGCAGTAATGCGGCTCTAAGAATCCCATACTAGTAAGTTCTTGTAGTTGTGTAGCATTTTGTTTCTAACTCGTAGATCACAATGATCAAGAAAATTATGATGGTAATGAATAACAGCAAAGATAATGAGCATTGTAATGTACATTGAAATGAAAATACTTCTGGATAAACTTTCTTAAGCAGCAGTTGCATGAAAGTCATGTGATGGATATACTTTCCCTAATGAAGAAATGATCATTATATGAACTCATACAAGTGAATATATACGAATTCAAGTTGCAAAATAGAGAAACTACTTGCAAAATGATACGAACCCTTGGACGGTGGTGGGAGTCGGTAAGTCACTCAGCGTTGAATTGATCTGTAGATTCTCACTCATCACTGTCTTATTCATACAAGAGTCTGTAGCTGAGAAGTTACTGGAGATAACAGTGATGTTGTCAACAGAAGTCAGGTTTACAGGACAGCCCGAGGTAGACAATGGCAGGTACTGTGGCGCTGATCCATGCACATAATTACCTACAACTACCCACGCACTCAAAACAAATGCGGTGAGTTCTCCAACCATGGCTCCCTGTGTTGACATGGATAATGAACAACTTCCTGAGAATAAGTATTTTCTAGAGAAATATATTGCAATTGCACTCTCAGGAATCAGAAAAAAAAGGATTGTTACTAATGAAGTGATTCACACTACGTTACCTTACCTTAGCGTTGACCCACGGGGTCAAGATGCCAGCAAGAAAAATACCACACAGAGGTCCACAGATGATCCCACTGAACATGGCTCCCACTTCCAGCACACCTCCCAACTTTTCCATCAGTATTCCCAAGCCGGTGCCAATTAGCCCAATTATCAACGCTGGAAAAACGAAATATGAATATTAGATGTATAATTTGAACCTGGTAAATGTTGATGCACTGCTGAATGTGAATTATTTAGCTTATGTAGGAATACTTATTTGTTCTAAATTACTTGATCAATATTTGTTTTTACAAAATACATCATAATTGTTAAAGAAATTGTTAAAGAAATTAAACCATTCCTTCTGTAGCCTCATTATGTGCCATGAAAAACAAGAATAAGAGAACTGGCCCCAATACCACTGTTAAAAACACTCTGGCGTCTCCGTGATAAAAAAAAAACCGGCAACCAGAAAAATTGGTATAAAAGCTGTTAGCTTTTTTCAGTTAAATCACCTTGGCTCTGGAATCTGTGAAGGTAGTGAAGCAGTGACTCTTGAAGTGAAGTCTTACATCAACGACTTATCAAAGATAAAATCGTAGATTGAATTTTACCTGTGTGGTTTAGGGAGTCGTTCCAGCATGAAATTCCCTCGTCAAAGTGTGTTCAGCAAGGAGACGTACTTGACCCATTCCTCTTTTGTATAGCAGTAAGAAAACTCACATCCAGGGTAAGCATCGAATTCACCATCCAGTACTTAAATGATTACTCTCTGGCAGATACAGATGAGTCCCTGCTAGCAGATCCTCAAGAAGTGAAGTCACGAGAATAAGTCTTGTGACTCGTCTACAAACCTTCCAATTTGCCAATTATTACAGGTGTTTACAGTGAAACATATAAGTGAACAGTATTTAGATAAGGCTAAAGAGGTCTTTGTGGCATTTATGGATTTGGAAAAGGCGTATGACAGGGTGGATAGGGGGGCAATGTGGCAGATGTTGCAGGTGTATGGTGTAGGAGGTAGGTTACTGAAAGCAGTGAAGAGTTTTTACGAGGATAGTGAGGCTCAAGTTAGAGTATGTAGGAAAGAGGGAAATTATTTCCCAGTAAAAGTAGGCCTTAGACAAGGATGTGTGATGTCACCGTGGTTGTTTAATATATTTATAGATGGGGTTGTAAGAGAAGTAAATGCGAGGGTCTTGGCAAGAGGCGTGGAGTTAAAAAGATAAAGAATCACACGCAAAGTGGGAGTTGTCACAGCTGCTCTTTGCTGATGACACTGCTCTTGGGAGATTCTGAAGAGAAGTTGCAGAGATTGGTGGATGAATTTGGTAGGGTGTGCAAAAGAGAAAATTAAAGGTGAATACAGGAAAGAGTAAGGTTATGAGGATAACAAAAAGATTAGGTGATGAAAGATTGAATATCAGATTGGAGGGAGAGAGTATGGAGGAGGTGAATGTATTCAGATATTTGGGAGTGGACGTGTCAGCGGATGGGTCTATGAAAGATGAGGTGAATCATAGAATTGATGAGGGGAAAAGAGTGAGTGGTGCACTTAGGAGTCTGTGTAGACAAAGAACTTTGTCCTTGGAGGCAAAGAGGGGGATGTATGAGAGTATAGTTTTACCAACGCTCTTATATGGGTGTGAAGCATGGGTGATGAATGTTGCAGCGAGGAGAAGGCTGGAGGCAGTGGAGATGTCATGTCTGAGGGCAATGTGTGGTGTGAATATAATGCAGAGAATTCGTAGTTTGGAAGTTAGGAGGAGGTGCGGGATTACCAAAACTGTTGTCCAGAGGGCTGAGGAAGGGTTGTTGAGGTGGTTCGGACATGTAGAGAGAATGGAGCGAAACAGAATGACTTCAAGCGTGTATCAGTCTGTAGTGGAAGGAAGGCGGGGTAGGGGTCGGCCTAGGAAAGGTTGGAGAGAGGGGGTAAAGGAGGTTTTGTTGTGCGAGGGGCTTGGACTTCCAGCAGGCATGCGTGAGCGTGTTTGATAGGAGTGAATGGAGACAAATGGTTTTTAATACTTGACGTGCTGTTGGAGTGTGAGGAAAGTAACATTTATGAAGGGGTTCAGGGAAACCGGCAGGCCGGACTTGAGTCCTGGAGATGGGAAGTACAGTGCCTGCACTCTGAAGGAGGGGTGTTAATGTTGCAGTTTAAAAACTGTAGTGTAAAGCACCCTTCTGGCAAAACAGTGATGGAGTGAATGATGGTGAAAGTTTTTCTTTTTCGGGCCACCCTGCCTTGGTGGGAATCGGCCAGTGTGATAATAATAAAATTAAACTCATCTTACCAGAAGCCTTAGATAACTACCATCCCCACCGATAGCGTACTGACCAGAGCATCTTTGGGTTATAAGGTTACCGACGCAGATTTCAAACCAAATGAATGACTAACACAGGATGTAACAAAGGACAATCTGTGTGCCCATGAATTCCTGTGTCTAACCCTGTCCAATCTAACTAATTTCTTTACGTTTGGCCTTTTCTTTGAAATTCAAAATTTAAGTGAATCCAATGGATTTCTGAAAATAATATCTGAGAAAACACGAAATCTTCCACTGAACGATAATCACCGGGTCAGGAAATATTTTCCAGTTAGACTAGACTGAGAGATATTATTAATGCGCATTTATATCACTGTATATTTCATTCAGGGAATTATTAAGGGGGACATTTCCACAATACTTGAAAGCGTTTATTGGAATTATTGACCAACTTTCATATAATCAACATTTGCTTAGAACTGCTAAACACCACATATGATGCAGTTGAAGTTCTGACAGTAAAGATTGAAGTTGTATAGACGCTTCCAGGTACAACTTCTCATCAATTCATTCAAGGAACAGCTTTTAAAAGATGACTACTATCTGGAAAATCTTTCAATCCCAGCCCCAAGATGGAGGAATATGGCAAATAATGTTATAGCAGAGATGGCACCTGGTGGCAGCTCAGATCAAAATTCGCACACACATGAACACTAAATCACAAAGATATCAGTTATGAGGGAGACTTCACCAAATTCAAGCTTAATAACATAAACATCCATAGGAATCAAATTAATCATGTCCTAAATGAAACACCTGGGAAGATATCCTAAATAATACAGCTCCAAACATTTACCTAGAAAAAATTAACTCTTTAGTAACTAAGGAATCCTCAAGGCACATTCCCCTAAGAAAAAATGAAGAGAAGATGTAAACTAGAAAGAGAGAGACGCTGCCGCTACAGACAAATGCAAAAAATCACAGATGCTGAAAGAGGCCAGTCTGTCTGTAATGTGGAAGGATCCACCGGCCAGAGAAATAGAAAATATCGAACTTAAGCTTAAGAAATCATACAGGAGCCAAGAAACACAGGAAGAACTTGAAGCCATATATTAAATAAAAATCATATCTTATGCCAAACCAAGGACAAAACAACGTATTGGGCCCCTGCGTAAACGAGATGTGACTTACATACCTGGAGTATGACTCACGAAATCGTAATGACACGATTGCAAACAAACCATACCACGGACGGGGATAGAACCCGCGATCAGAGAGTCTCAAAACTTCAGATCGTCGAGTTAGCCACTGGACCAGCTAGCCACAATAAGATTCGTCCAACTAGGTAGATTTCTACACCATAGAAAATATACCAAGTTGGACGAATCTTATTGTGGCTAGCTGGTCCAGTGGCTAACGCGACGGTCTGGAGTTTTGAGACTCTGATCGTAGGTTCTATCCCCGCCCGTGGTATGGCTTATACCTGGAGTATACCTGGAGAGGATTTCGGGGATCAATATTCCCCCGACCCGGTCCATGACCAGGCATCGTGGCAGGTTAGGGACTGATCAAATAGGCTGTTACTGTTGGCCAGACTTAAACTGACGTTCGAACCACAACCCAGCTGGTTAGGTACTGACTTTAGGTAGATGTCCAGCGCCTTCTTGAAGACAGCCAGGGGTCTCTTGGTAATCCTCCCTTATGTATGCTGGGATGAAAATAAATGGTATAAAATACCGACACTTTGGAAACATAAACACATATGCAGTTTAATGTGATCCTTTATTGACAACGTTTCGCCCACACAGTGTGCTTTTTTCAAGTCACAAACAGATCTACCTGGGGTGTTGTTGTTAAAGATTCGCCGGTATTCTCCCGGCCCAGGCCCTTCCAAGTGGTGGCCCGGCACTGGCTCCCTGTCTAGGGAGTGTCTGAGATCTAAGTCTCCCATGGGAGGAGGCACAAGTGCCCCCCTCACCTTGTGAGCTACAAACTCGGGCTCTGGCACCAACCCTGCCCTAGAAGGAAAAGGCATGGTGTCGATCGTGCTAGTGCTGTGCTCTCCTGTGTGGAGTGTCGTGTGTTGGTGTTCATTTTCATTCATGTTGATTCGCTGGTACTTCCGGCCCAGGTCTTCTCCAGATGGTGACCCGGCAGTTGCCCCCCGGGTGGGGGGTGACGATCATCATCTTCTTTCTTCTTTCTTGGCCCTCCGGTTGGAGGGTGTCGTCTTCTATCTTGTGCTGACTTCCCCAAAAAGAAGCACAGTCGGGCAGAGGCAGCAGTTACAGGGTCGATTGGAGCCACACCCCAGCTTTAGCGGACAGCAAAGTGCTGGGTGAATGGTCATGGATAGTCGTGCTAGACGAGGATACCGTCTTCAAGGTCCCCATTCTGAAGCATCCTGAATTTCCTCTTTGAGGTGTACTCGACTTCCACAAGGCGTTGGGTGTTGGCAGTGAGTTGTCTGGTCATGTCTGCAGTGGTGTATGTAACAGTTTGGTCGTAGGTATACTTGACTGTTCCGTCCTGGAGGTGCTGATGGATTTCTGAAGACAGCATTGTGTTCTTATACTGCTTGGTTGTGTAGAAGTATACACCCTTCAGATATCGGACTTGTTGTGGTGCAGCAGTGTCAGTGGCAGTGGCACCGTGAGGTGCATCCTCAGTTTCTTGTGTTTTTGCTTTCTTGGTTGGTGGCTGAACTGGTGAAGGCGAGATTTCCGACTGGTCAGTTGCTCTAGCAGTGGATGCAAGCGGTAGTGGACTCTCATTGGTGGGGTTTGCCGATGTCTCAGTGGTCTCTGATTGGTCCATCTCTGTGTCTAGTGGAGGTTGTGACAGCGGTGGAGCAGCGGTGATGCTGGTAATATTTGCAGTAGATTTTAGGATCTCAGTGGAAGG